GCTTTCCCAATTAATACTTAGTCCACCTAGAGTCATGCAGTTTCCATGCTATTTGCAGAAAGTTAAAGAACCACCCTTTATTGACAAGTCAAAACACTAACAACAAGAACGCACACCTTTGCTGTAAATAGGAAACACTAAACAGGAAATACTGCGCCCAATTAAAACTATTACAGTGCTAACCTTGCCTTCCAGGCAAACTTCTCTCTTTTATTTTGCGGAGGACTCCCACCTTGGAACAGTTTGTCAGATCAGGACTTCTGTATCACCTCTCACCACTTTCTAGGCTCATTTTGTTTTGTCAGTTCTCTCTCTCATGTCAAATGTTATGTTCCTCTTGTTATCTTTCTTTTCTGTGTTCTTTTGTTTTCCCCTCCCTTTTTTCCCCTTGTTGTTTTTCTTCTTCCTGTACATGTATTTTTGGTATCTTTTTTATTTTCCAGGTTCCTCCTTCCTTCCCTGTGACCACTGGCCCCTGTCTCTATTACCCTGTCCCTTCCAAAAGGCTATTGAGTACAGTGTATGTCCACTGGGGCTGTGCAGAGCTGGCAAGAGCAGAAACATTTCAGGGCTTATCCCTTTGCATGCATCCATACCTATCCATACCCCACACTGTCCACCCATACTGACCACCTTCTATATGAGCTGCTCCTGTACATTCAGGCTGCCTCCCAATAAGGTATCATGGGGAGCAGGGAGGAAAGGCAGCAGGCTGCTCTTAATGTCACAGTGCATAACAACATAATACACTTGCTGTGTGCATGTGGGGGGTCCTACAATTTTCTGCATTCACACTGGGATACTCTGAACTAGTACTGGTACTGGTGCTCCCTCCCCCATGTGTAAATTGTGAGATTGTGTTTTAGGCCCTGATTCTTCTGCTGTATATTTCAAGGAGAGCAGGATCAGACTAGACTCCCTGGCTGAGTCTCCTTAGCAGGACAGCTTAAAGAGGAAATTCATGTCAGACTCAAAGCTTTACATTATCTGAACTTTCTCTAAATCTATGAACTGTTCAATCCCATTATCACATCTAACTGGTTATCCTAGTCCACTAATGATTTTCCTACTACCTAGGGAGCCTTATGACTGGCAGATTCCATCCCCTTCCCTCCCATTCATTCCTCATTTAACATGGGATTAACAAATGAGCTCAGATAACAAGATATAGTGGATACTTATATTTTCTTTATTCTGTAAACCTCGCTGCTCATTTATTCATTAGTTACTTTCAAGCAGGCAGGAACAATCACATTATTAGCTTTAAGGATCTATTTTAGTAATGTTTTTACAAGTCTTCAGATGTTTGGCTGTAGAGCTGGATACTGCTCCCATACTCTCACAAATACCTTTTCTTGTCACCTGATTTCTATAAACTAGACAATGTTAAGCTGGTCACCTTCATTAACACTTAATATAACCACAGTTACAGAATTTTTTCACACTTTATCCCATAGTTTTTGTTTTACCATAAATAAACTGAGAACAAGTAATTGCCAAACAATTAAAAATAGCCAAGGAAGTTTATACTTTTATAGGAAGAAGTACAGCAATTTAAGTCTATATAAAGTCTCATAAACTGCATTTAACATCCTAAAGGACTTGCTTTATAGCATATTAAATACTTTATTCTAACATAATTAAAATAATAGTAGGTGGTGTGGTATCTTTACAAATTAGTCATTAATATAATACTGTAATATCACAATCTAAGAGAATGTCAGACAATAAATAAAAACGTATTTAATTAACTCTTTAAGAGTCCAAGAAAAATACTGTTTTTCTCAGAGGAGTTCTTTTAGTTGACTTACTAATGGTGTGTCGTTGAGAGAGGTTGCATCTTTATAATATGAAGACCAAGTCTCACTCACAAACGTTATACTACATGTACTCCTTACATTTGCTTCTTTCATGATCATTGTATTTCTACAAAAGTGGCATCAATATTTCTGCTTTTACCAAGTGAAGGAGGGCAAAAAATAACACAGTAAGCAGATAAGAAGTGTTATCACATATTTTATTCATGACACTGAAGAAGATGTATGCTTAACAGGCTGATTAAATATGCCCAATAGCCAATCTAGCTTGTATGTTGAGCCCTTTAGTCTGCATTCGTTGTGTGCATCTTTACATGGTTATTCCATCTGAAAAAAAGAGCACCTTGAATATCAACTGCAATCAAATGTGCTCACATGCTACTTCTGGAAGTACATACAATTTTGAAATATATTTTAAATATTTATAATTTTGCCTGGAAAGGCACCTTACCTTTTAATGGACAATAACATTTTCATGTTTTAAGGAGTTATTTTATCTTTAAAAAGTGGAAGAGTACAGGAAGGTGATGTATTACATATTTGCAACCTTGTGCAAAAGTAGATGATTTCATATTTGGTGAATTTACATTTTAGTTTTTGAATTCTAGAGTAGACTTTCAACATATGATAGCAATAACATTTTCAAGAGTTAGGAAGAAGTTTCTTTTGTCTGTGAGGCCTGGTCTCAGTGTGTTTATTTTACTGATGTAATTGCCGAACTCAAATCTTTCATAAAATAGAGCAATTAATGTTAAAAAAAATTATGAATACTTGAATTAATTCTAATTACGCATGTACATTGCTGAAACTATGACTAGCACTTACCTATCATGCATTAGTACAGAAATTAAAGCTTTCTTAGGAGAACAATACAATCTGTTGCTCATCATATCACTTTTTAAAAACAAAGATCACAGTAAAATTAATAGATCAGTGAAAAGCTTTATTGTAGTTCTGTTTTATATATGATCATCTTTTACTGAAAACTCTACCTAGATTTCATGGAATATCTATGTAAACTGTCCAGATATATTAATAAAGTAGCAAAATAGATAACTGTTCTTTTATTTATAAAAAATTATGATCTCTAAGGGCATCCTTATATGTGCTCCTGGGGTGGGAGGAAGCACTTTAATTAGAGCGGTTTTCAGGTGCTGCTCTAATTAAAGCACCTGCAGCATCTTGTGTTTTCAGCATCCCATGTTTCAAAATGGTCAAATAAGCTTTAGTTAAAGTCTCCCTGCCACCATTTTGAAGCACGAGGATGCTGAATACACGAGATGCCAAGGCTGCTGGGTGTGCTAATTAGCATGCTCCAGCAGACTTGATTGAGCCTGCTCTGACATGCTGTAATTACAGCTCATCAGAGCAGGCATCCTGCATGTCTACAGGCATCCTAAGATTCTTTCTTCCTCTGAAGGAGGGAATGTGAGCATTCCAATTTTTTCACAGCTGGTAGGAGTCAGCTCACAGAATCAAAGAGGGAGAAGAGCATCGAACAAAAAAAATGTGGTCAGTGGCAAAGGAGTTCATGATATCCTGAGCATCCTAGTTTGGTCCTATTTAATCTTATTGTAGGGATTGGCTTGAAGCACTATAGAACATTTTTTGCCTACCCTTTGTGTTTATGGAGAGGAATGTACTGTCCAATGAGTAGGAACCATCTCATCATTAAAAACCAAATCTTTTTAGCTATCTGGGAGTCCTGAAAAGGTGAAAAGGTAAGTCACACGTAAAAAGTCCCTGTAAAAATCTGGAAATGCTAGTAAAACAGATATTAAAATATATAAGAACAATAGATAAAATTTAAATTGTACACAGGCTTAATACTGAGTAATCTTATCAGAGTTTTCTAACTAAAGGTATATTTTTGGCTTTGATCAATAGAGCAGGTAAAAAAAGCTGGAAATGAGGCTTCGTAATTAGTGCCCCTGCTCTTCGGTACTAGTAATCAAGAATTAACCAGTATATAAAGTTTATTGTTTCAAATTAATTGCACATGTAGACACACCCAGAATCAACTGATCTACAACCTCTGCCTGAGAGCAGACCACTAACCTCTATCCAAGACCTTCTCAATAGCCTCCCACACTCCTATCCCTATTTAGGTGGGATGGATCATTGGCATACTTTTAAGGCTTTGCTCAGGGCCTGCATGGTAAGGATAAGCCTAGGGGATCAGTCAGTTTCAGATTCCACGTTTCTTTCAACAGTCAGGTTCATATTGTTTATGCCTACCATTGAAATAATAGTAATATTTGTTGAAGTATTTAATCCTTGATGTCATCAAATTAATCTAAAATGCACTTAGTAAGTACAAAAGATGTGCACAAATGGTCAGTCCCCTATTGTTTGGGCTCCTGAAATAGGGATATTATCTTGCCTATTTTTAGAAGTCTGTAGTGGGGAAAGAATTCTATAAAGTCCAAATCCTACAAGGCTGATTTGGCTGAACCCTTCAGCCCAATAGGCTATATTGATTCTAGTTGGTGCAGAGGTTGGCCAATGAGCAAAGCATTGCACAATCAGGTCTTAAGATCTTTCACTTTTGATTTTCTTGTTGGTTGCAAGTTCATTCATAATGATGTTTCTATAATGTTTTATTAGGTACAATTGAACAGATTTAATTAGTAGCACTGTCTCTTTGTTTGTTTTGTCTTGATATAGCTGTACATCTGTGCGTTGCATTGCTTTAATCTTACCAACATAATATTTGTTGAGTAATGTTCCTATAGATACTGTTGGCTCTGGATTTAGGACCCAAATGCCTTGTTCTGAGGGACCCACCCTTAGACTGACCATGACCTTTTCATTCGATAATAGGCAAATTTATTGATACACTGTGATAACAGAAAAGAAACAATACAAACATTCAAGCAATTCTGTATATCTACCAAATCCTAGGGCTGTCATCAGCATCAAAGTACATCTGGCCAAGATTCAGTCTTCACTCTGAGGCTCTCTGTTAGGTGTCAGATGTCAGTATGTCAGCAATCTGGAGGTGGGATGCCGAAGCCCAGCCCCCCCGCCCCAAATTTTGGGAATTCCCAAAAACCAAACCTTTTAAATACCATTTTCTAAGCCGACAGATACTAGAGGCAGAAGTTTACTAGGTGTATCAAACAGATGTTGAATATTTTTGATCTTTTATTTAATAATATTTTTGTTTGTTTTTTGTTCCAGAATTAAAATGGCACAGCAAACCGTAAACAAGTTAACTGCAGAGAAGAAGGTTGAAACAAAAAAAATCAACCCCACGGCTAGCCTGGTATGATTTATTCTTTAGCACAGCACACAGAATAACTGTGCTTTTTAGTTCTCATTGAAGTATAGCTAGTAGCATGCATGTTTAATCAATTTGAAAGCAGTAAATTGATATCCCTCCTGAGGAAAATCTTTAAGGCTTTACCTACATTGGTACAACAATCACATTTAAAAACTGCATTTTCTTGTGGCCAAGCCTAGCTCTGACATGGCTTAGATATCAAAGTAGGAAGGAGCCCTGTTAACTTACCTTTTCTCTCCCAAAAGTTCTCTCTGAGCCTTCTTCTATACCGCTTTATGTACTCTGAAATGTTATTTCCAAACCACTAAAAAAGACACCATCCTAGCTTCATGTCAGACTTCTTCTAAAGATTCCCTTCTGACATTTCACAAATGTTAAGTGAGGAGGGAGTTTTAAATTAATTGACAGCCTTAAAGAAAGGCTTATGTCATAAATGCTTATGCCAGTGGTTCTCAATTTTTTTAGACTCAAGGCACCCCTCTTTAGACTCAAGGCACCCTTTCAAAAATACCAGCTCTTAGTTTTCATTTTTTTTAGATTATAGAAAAATAATAGAGCCAGTTTTTGTGTTGTAAAAAATTCAGAAAGACCACAACTAGTTAAAATGTTTTTAACACTATGAATTCCTATTTGAAACCTCTGGGCTTGCCTTGTGAATCATACTTTCACACCTAATAGTGCTAACATTGCATGTCACCCTGGATCACCTGGAAAGGATCTCAAGGCACCCCAGAGTGCTGTGGCACCCTGGTTGACCCATTATTGTAAGCCAGTGGCTCAGTACACTTCCCTTTATTTTAACCCAGTGATTCTCAACCAGGGTGATATGGTTAACACAATAATGGGTTAATAATGAATTGTTTTGTAGAGATGGTTTATCAGAAGATTGAACAAAGTCATACTGAAAACCTTGAAGATGTTTTCAAATTACTACCTATTGAAAGTATTAATTCAATGTATGCATCTCTGTATTTAAAAGATGTACATAACCAATTTACATCTTAGAAAAAAAAATATTTCTAGCCAAGATACCTACATGTTTGGCAGCACTTCTAACCCCCAGTACAAGTTACTAGAATTAGTCATATATTTGGTCTATAGCTCACATTACACTTAAAATGTGATAAACCAGTTAATCATGTATTATGTTGTTACACCCACCCACCTGATACCTGATATAGCACAGCACAGCATGGCAGGGGCAAGGTCAGGAGCAGGAGCCACCACTGGAGGTGTGGGGAGCAGAGCAGCACCCAGCCAGGCCATGGGCAGTAACAGGAGCATGGCCAGGGCTGTCCTGCAGGGCTTGACCCCATGCAAAGCACCACAGGGGCAGCAGGGACGACACAGCCTGGGTGAGCTCTGCTGCACATGCCCCCTGCCCCTCTCCACTCACCCACAGCAGGTGCCTGGGACCTAGCACCCAGGCAACGCCCACACACACACATACACATGACCCCCACACCCCTCCCCACACACCCCTCCTCACCCCCCCCCCAGAGGGCAAGGACATGTAGGGACTGGGCCCAGGCTCCAGGCCTCGAACCCTGGGCCCCAAGTTCCCATGATCTCAGCTTCACCTGCCCCTCCCACTCCTGAATACTGCTTCCTGCCTGCCCACAGCCTCATAGAGAGTTTTGGTGAGTTGTTGGTGGGGAGGGTGCAGACCCAGCCTGCAACAGCTCCTCAGACCTCCCCATGTGGCCCTCGGGCCCCAATAATTGTCCCCCCCAGATTAGCATCACTTCAGGTAGTGTTGGCAATGTAAGCTTCTGTGCTAAGTCAATAAATAAACTGCTAAGAAATGCATTTGCATATATTGTATTCAGCAATAGTATTTAAAACCAAACTGTAAACCATCAGTTGTTTTGATGTATGTATCTACCTCTGGCTTTTTGAACCAATGCAAGAATGGTAAATGCTTAAGGACAAAGCAAAAAGCTATTACCACTTATCTCTTAAAGAAATACCTATATTAATTGTTATTTATGTTGAAGCGCTCAAGAAGGTATTAAATTCAAACTTTATTTTAAAATGTAGTATTGCTTTTTACAGAACTGCCTGCTTAAGTTTGGAGGAACTCTTTTTTTAGAGACATACAGTACAGGTTAAATTCATAGAAAAGTCTAGAAAGGCACTAAAAGTTCAATGTTTATATGTCAAAAGAAATCTTTACAGGAGAGAGAACTGCATATTACTTCAAAAAGTTCTCTGGGCATGGCACTCCAGGAGTTAATTTGCTGGAGTAAATGGGCTCTGATTTACTATGACTAGTTTGGTGCTTCTCAGTTCAATATTCTAAACCACATGCTTGTTACAATTTGAGAGCAGATGGAAAAATTAGAGAAAAGAATGATAATAAAGCTCTTTTTTCTTAAACAACAGAAAGAAAGACTACGTCAGAAGGAAGCCAATGTGACCACCAACTGAAAGAAGACACATGAAAATAATGACAGTGTGACTTAATACCTTGCATGATGCTTTACTGTGTCCATTCCCTAGAGAGCACCTTATGTTAGATGTTATGGAATCCTGCTTTGCACATCTTTCCCAAGACAATCCACCAGAGATTTTTCAGTTCTTCTAAGCAGTTTGCTCATTCTGTAGAGGGAACACTAAGCTGTTTACAGGGGAATTATGAATGGTTTTATATTACTCTTCCTTACATGGTTTTAAAATGACACTGTTTTCTAAATGGTTATTTGAAGTAGTCTATGCATAATGCACTAACGCAAAAGAGGTAAAATCAGGATGTTGGATCCTGAATTAAGTAACTGCTAACAATCTATACATTTTTTACAGGGACTTTAGGTAGGTTGCAACAGAGGTATCGTTCAGGTTGAGAGGCTATTTTACCGTAAGTTTTGACTTCTGTACTGAGTGCAGCATTGATTCTAAATAATATTTATAATGTATAAATAATATTAAATTAGTCTTTCTAAAATGAATGAAGATTCATTATAAATGTATTATGTATTTTACCATAAGTATTTTTATAGAAACCTGAGTCTATGCCATATGCATTGAAATGGAAAACAATATTTTGCACATGGGAAGAGAGAAATAGCCTCAAGTTCTGTTGTCCTGTGGTATATGTAGATGATATCACTAACATGTTAATTTTATGGTGTTGACTTAATGATTCTTGCACTGTCTTCATGTTGTCTGGTTTCACAAGAACAAATGACAAGTATTTTTTTTTAATTCAACGCATGGTCAAATATCAACACCATCAGATAATTTATTTGTTATCATTCAGCTAAGGGGAGCACATAATGTATCCCCTTAAAGTTATACCAATAAATCTCTAGCTTTCAATTTTCTTGAAAGCCATATTATTTAATAATAAAACAAGAGTGTCAAAGACATGGCCTGCAGAGCCCCATCATCCAGCCCCACACCACTGCCTTTGGGTCCAGAGTTGACTCTCAAGCTGCATGCAAGACCGAGGATGCAGACCATGCAGAGCACCCACTCTGCCCAGCCCAGGACCCATGCTACATGCTGTGTGGGGCCTGGAGCAGCTGGAGGATGTGCCATGTGAAACACATGTCCCAGATCGGCCCTACACAGGCACCACATGCAGTGCAGTCCTAGATTGGCCAGAGTGTGTCTCACATGCACTAGATCCAACACACAGGAGTGAAGAGGGTGGGTCTATGGGCCAATTGGGGAGCCAGCTACACAGGCTATTCATCCAGCCTGTGGGCTGGTCCTGCATCATACATCAAGGCTGCAGGGCCAGGTAAATTGGATACCCATGCTATACAACATATTTTCCAGCTGTTTTTTGTCTATCGTGTATTTATAACTGTATGTACTCTACTATATAGAATTTGAGGAATAACTAATAGAATTACCTTAATGTACTCTTGTGATAATATAATCCCTGAATATAAAATTAGGATTTAGAGCCTGAATCTAAAAGTGCTGGATGCCTTCAGGAAAAATGTTACTTGAGGACACTCACTGCTTCCCAGGGTCAGACTCCTTAAAAGAAATACCCATGCAACTGAAAAAGTTTTAAGGTGAAACCAAAATAGACACTCTTAAAAAATAAATAAACCTTCTGTGATGGGCTAACACTAGACTGCAACTGAACAGCCAAATATGGAAAGAGCATATGAAGAAAATTTCAATTTACTAAATCACTAAAACCTTAAGAGCTAGTGGTTATTATGAGACCTAACCAATGCAAATGAAATAATGATTAAGTAAAAAGGATAGAAAGTATAATGAGGAAGATATTAATCCCTTTTCCTAGTACTGTAAAGAGTATGCATGAAAGTAATCTAGTGGGTTATCTACATACATGAGATGTTATAGGATTTGTTATGAAGTCTTAGGCAAAGTTGATATGTTTGTTAAAGAAAATAGTAACTGAAGCAGCTTAGTTCATGTTTCCTATTGGGCAAATTCTTAGTTTGCAGGTTCCTTAAATGGTTATTATTTCATTCCTGTACAGATAAACATAAGGGACCTAAGACAGGCCTATATATTTTGGAATTTATAGCTGCTATTCAAATATTTAATATGCATAAATATCTTACAGATGAAAACAAATCAAATATATATTGATGAAGGTAAAATGGATTCATAGTTTGTTTGTTTTTTCCAATTGGCATGGAAATTTGGGGAAGCACTAGCCTAATGGAAAGAAACTAAATCCCAAAGACTGAAATGTTTGGTCTTCCATCAAACCAAGCACACAAAGGAGTGAATCTGTTTATACTTTTGTTAGTGGTAAACATCATAAGCACAAATGCTCATTCAAGCCAAAGATTAGAGAATGGTGGTAGGTGATACAATATTGAGGAGTCTCTAAACAAAAAAAAAATGGAGGGTCCTCAATATGGTTCTCCACCTGCCACAAAGCTACTGAATGCTTTAATTAGAACTGGTCAGGAATTCTGCAATGAAATACTTCTTCAGTAGGATGTTATACAGGAAAGGACTGATTTTGACAGATGTCTTAACTCAAAATATTTTAGAAAAAGTTTGTTTCAACAAGTATCTTGTTTCAACATTTTGACTATCAGTTCACAATTTATGTTTTAGATTTTCAGGTTTCATCCTGATTTAGGAAGAGAAGTCTTAGTCTTTCATAATCTCACAAATGCTGATGCTATAGAAATGACTGAACCAACCAGATCACATACTGATATATCATTAGCCAACATTCATAAATGGCCTGAGACTATTACTAATGGTGCCAGCTGCTAATCTTATTGAAATTATTCTAGTAGAGAAGTGGCATTAATGATAAATATATGTTAGGTGTATATGGAAACTGTTTAATTTTGGACATATTAGGTACTCTTACTATGACATTTAGAAAATAAGCTTAAACTAAATCTAGGATGTGAGGGCTCAAAGAGAAGTGACAATTTTACCCAATCTGGCCACAGAAAGTGGCATACAGCCTTGACCAAACACAAGTGCACAGCTGCAAGCAGCTTCAAAAATGACCAGTTGGGTGAAAATTTGAACCCTCATTGCATGAGGGGTCAGATGAAGATGTTTCAAAATAGAATGTCTTCTGTAACTTATCTGCATTGGGCGGCTGGCAGCTGTAGCAGCGGCATTGGAAGTGGTGCTGCAGTGAAATTTGGGGTGGCTGCGGCATCCTTCCCACGAGCCTCACCACAATCCCACGCCCTGATATCAGAGCAGTATTGGCCAATATGCCTTCTTAAATATCGGCATATCGATATTTATCGGCCCCAAAAATCTCTATTAGTGCACCCCTATCAGCTACAGCAGGGAGCTGCACTTCTGTCTGATCCCTGAATGTCCCCAAAGTTTGTGACTCAGAGTTATACCTAATAATAATATAGCATAGCATACAGTTCTCTTCCAGCAAAACTGAAAGCTCTTGAGATATTATTTGAGGGCAGACTTTAATCTTGACTTTCTGGTTTTCTTTAAACCCCTTTATCATTGCCTGGCTTAAAGAATTTTGTAAAAGAAGGCTGGCATCCAGTGTAAGAAGGGCTCCTCATTCCATGTAAGTGCTTACTACTCAGGATAAATATATTATGGCTGTAAATTGACTTGTTAGGTAAGATTCTAAATATATGACATTGACACTATGATATGACACTATGACTTGAAATACTGTTTCATCCATTTATATTTTAAGAGGGTAGCAGGGCATAAGTTGCTGTTACCTCTTATTGCTTTCAAAATGAAGATCAATTACACATATTAGAGACATTTTAAAAATATATTTTTTTTTACTTTTCTTATTAGTCTATAGGAGATGCACCTTTTTGCTTTACTGACCTATGGAAATCTTTTATACTATGTGCTTTATTTTAAGTGTCTACACTTATAGGGTAATGATCACACAATATATTTATCGTGGATATGAAAATGAATTTTTTGATCAAAATAGTATTAGTGTAACTTTTGATTTTGTGCATGTGGGAGGTTAAACTGGTATTGCTGGAATACCCATCAGAGAGAGAGATAACCAATGACTTCACATTTGAACCATCATTTGTACCAGGGGATAAGTAAAAAAAATATCCAAAATAAAAATAGAAAAATGTAATTGTCTCTTAGTCTGGGTTTGGAATGAATAGCATGGCAAGCAAGTATTTCACAGTATGTTATTTCAAGAAGACTCTGTTGAGGAATTCTATAAAGTACTGGCTTGTTTCCTACTAGTTTCCTTCTGCCTTTAAGAACTCCTTATATAAAGCTTGCACTATAACCCTGATAGTTGAGGTTTTTTTTCCAACAAAGTGCCTAGACTTATATATGTACCATGTGCAAATTAAGAATAGGTCTTTTCATTTAATCTTGCTCCACCAAAAGACATTGAAAACTAAAGTATCCCTTAACCCCTAAACTTTATAAGACAAGAACTGAAATATATAAACATTGTAACAAAAGGAAAAACACCACGCTTGCACACGCACGCGCGCACACACACACACACACCCGGGGTGGGGGAGGTTTGAACATCTTAATAATTTATTAATTAAAAATATTAGTAGACACAAACTTATTTTCAGTAGCCTTTGACAGGGAAGTAGATCACCCTAGGAATGCTCAGACACTGTGAGATTTTTTTCAGTTTTCCCTTTGTCCCTTCATGTAGTTCTGGCAGCAATACAGTGTAACTCTGTATCCCAACCTGAGTAAACTGTTGGGGCTGTCTCAGCCTTTTCCAGTTCTTTCCTAGCATTTAGGAGTATAAGTAGAATAGAGATTTGAGTAGTAAGCAGCCTTTTAATTCTTGTCTACACTAGAAAGCTAAAGAAAATTTATAATCATTGGGCTCTGGGAGTGGCCGGGGAGGGTGTTTTAATTAAAGCGGCACTAACATAATGGGTGCCTATACACATGCAGTGAGGCTGCTCCAACACACTGTAATTACAGTGCGTCAGAGCAGACTTGATTAATGGCTCTCCTGCAGACTCCAGCGTCTCATGTATCAGCTGCCCCAAGTGCCTGGCTACATTGTTATGCCTCTGATAAAATCTCATGGTTTGTGGTAAGATTCTGTGAAGTTTTAAAGCAGTGGTTTGTTCCTGATGGTATAATGTGTCACAGTTAGCTATGGCTATATATTTGACTATACAGGCAAGTGCTGTCCATTTACAAATTTGAGCTGCTTTAGTTTTTCTCCATAATACATGCCTACTATGTCATAGTCAAGCAATCAAAAAGTCCCCCAGCCAGGTTGTGAATAACAGCCACCTTTCTGACTGACATGGCTCTTTTCCATATAATGTATGAGTAGTCGGCTTGGCCTCCTGTAGCGTGTGGTACACACACAGTCAGGTTTTGCAGTAAAGTAATTCCAACTGTTCTCTCTGCTCTATGGCTATTCCTACATTGTAAGAGATATCTAAGATAGCTGATAACAAGCTAGGTCAGGTACGGGAACCAGCATAACTGCAACAGCATGCCTGTTGATGTGCTTTTAGTCTTGTGATTTCTCATCCTTCTTCTGGAGAAAATTGTTTGTTTCTATATAAATCGAAAATAAAAAGAAGGCCACAAGGTGACCTGGTTATAGCATATGAGTAGCTTCAAAGGAAGAAAATATCAGGAACTATAAGGGCTCTTTAATCTAGCAGAGAAAATCAAAGCAAGAACCAATAAGTGAAAGTAAAGCCAAATTCAATTGAGAAATAATGCCCGAATTATTAGCAGTGAAGCTGAATAACCACTGTAATAATTTTGCAATGGAAGAGAGAGATTCTCCACCTCCCAATGTCTTCACTTCAAGAACAAATGTTGCTCTAGAATATTTGCATTACCCAGACATAATTGAGCTCAGTTCAAAAGTATTTTGATGAAATTCTATGGCCTATGATATACACAAAGCCAAGCAAGACAATTTATTTAAAGTAATACTTCTAGTCTCGGTAAACAATTATTTCTTCCTTTTTTTATATCTGTAGTAAAAAATTAGTTTTCAGTATGAAATTAGTAATATTGATAGTATATCATGGAATAATATAATTCAGTAAATTAATCAAAAATATTAAATATAATTATATTTCTACTAATGTAGGCATTTTGATTATAGAAATTGCAATAGCCATTACCTAGAACTTTCAGGATTTAGAATTGCTGCCACTGGATTATTACTTGTTAAAACAGAATTTAAACTGTAGCAATAGTATTTAATCACATCATGGATCTAATCTGGTAGAAAATTAAGATATTCATGGGGCTGGTCAAAATTGGAAACCCTATTTTTATTATAAATTTCAGAATTTCAAAGTTCTTTTACTTCAAGTTGTTTGAAACAGATTTGATTTTTTTAAACAATTTTCTGGTCTTTTTTGCAATTCCAAAAAGTCTGTCTTGATATTACTCAAAATGTTATCAAAATGTTTACTGAAATTTTCCATTTAGTGGAAACCTCATAAGGAAAAGCTTCCAATAAAAAATGTCAGTAAAAAGTTGAGGGGTGGGAAAAAGCTCAACATTGTTCATGGAAAATGAAAGATGATGACAATAGTGATAAATTTTCATTAAAATGTGGATTTTTAAACAGGCTATTTTTCTAGGAAAAAATATTTTCATTCAGTTTAGTCTCTGTGTTAGGAGCTCTACACAGTTCCCCAGCTATCATTCTCACTGTGTAGGTGCATCTACATGCCCAAGGGCCTATTTGTTCTCTAAACAAAGTAGAAGTGGACTCCTTGCTAACCACAAGCAAGCCACAAGGAAATTCTTAGGCTGATAGGGGAAGGAAGAGTAGGATTTTCTTCTACATCAGGGGTCCAGGAGAATTAGTTCTGTTTGTCCAGTCTCTGGTTAGTTATAAAAAAGTCATTGAAGCACTTCAGTCTGCCTCTGGGTTCCTGGAGAAATTACCTTCACCCCTAATTTTTGTATGGTGCCCTTCACAAAGCACAATTATGCCAGTTTTGTGTGGTAGATTCCTTTATGCGTGGAAAAACCTCATTGTTGTTTTATCATTGTAGCTGGCAACTAAATATTGTCCTGTGTACAGTAGTGGTGGGATGCTTGCTGAATTGAAACAAAGTAACTCAGTGCATTCACGATTCTGACATGTATTTGGTATAATACTGGGCTGTCCAGCTGGAAGGGTTAATTTCTGGCCCCTGGGCTCCCACCTGGCTACTGCTCCTGTCATCGTTTTGTCTTCAGTATCAGTCAGGGGCTCTTGACCCCCCCTCCCACCCCCGTCTTTTGGCTTCCACTTCCTGTCTCCAATCTAGGGGGTGCAGAAGCATGACATAGCCTGCAGTGCTGGGGGAGCCCACAGTTCAGGGTAGCTCTGTGGCCAGTGCAGTGAGAGAGAGCCCACAGCTAGGGAGCTGAAAGTGAGTCCAGAACACCCAGTGCATGCACAGTACAGCAGGGAGAAGCATGCATCGTGTGACAAGGACACGCACCTGCCCACAGAGTGCAATGAGAAAGGGAGAGCCCACGCAAGCACAGGGCCTCTGGTATGTGTTGCTGTGCCCCTGATGTTGGTGGCCCATGGGATGGCAGGCCCTGGCCAGTTATAAGTTGGAAATTTGTGGTATAGTGTGAGATTCACCGGCTGGATCTACTTTGTCACCCTCCATCCTCAGATCCTAGGTGCATGAGACTTAAGAGCTTCTGTCAACCCAAAGGAATTGTAACGTCTATTCTTTGGTTGTTAGTGTTACTAAAATATTTTTGGAATTTGCTGTAAGAGATTTTTGTCAGTCTTTTGTGAAATGTGATAGTAATTCATTAGAAAAATGCAAATGACACATTTCCTCTCTGACTTTTTCCAGAAAGATCAAGCATGTGTTGCTGGACTTTTACCTTTTCCTTTGGCATGCAATAAACACATTCCATTGCACTTGGATAAATGCACTTCATGAGTGACTATCCAAAGATCGCATGTTATGGTAACCACAGAAAATGTATAAAGAGCAGAGACAATGTTGGCATTTTCCCTTGTTTGAAACATCAGCAGCCAACAAATTTTATATATCTTTATTATTATTGCATGCATGCAGTGAATTTCTTAGTCTGTGAAATTCTTTAATTGCTTGATCAGGATTAACAAGGGTTCATTAACATCTGAGGGTAAGCTTACCATACACTCCTTCCTTTACTTCTCCATCTTTTTTAATATTCATACCTTATGGACTTAAGCACTTGCAGGGCTTAGGTTATCTGTTTGTCTTCTGGTTATCTATTCGATTTTAGGAAGGAAGATAAACTTCTTGTGATGTATTTAATTGGAAATACTGTTTTAATATTGTTTTGTTAAAACTTTTTCCATGTCTGACAAAACTGAAAGAACTGTGATTTTATTTATATTCCTTTAAAAAAAAAGAACTTTATTTCTTTTTTATATTCTACATCGTCTTGCAGCTATACTGTAATACACATTTCTAGGGCGTTAAAAACCTTGCAGAAAGCCTTAGTTCCCTTGGAGGTTGAAATAGAAAAAACTTCCTCTGGGAACATCCACACTACCATCTTCTTTCTTTGGTGAGCCTCAGAGCCCTCTCTTCTTGCCACCAGTAACTTCGAGAGGTTCCAGGGCTGTTTGCTAACAGCACAATAAAACCCCAGTGTAAGAAGAGGCCTGCCAGCTTTCCAGCCAAATGACTTCACACTGAACTATAGCAAGCATGATTTGAGATGCATTAACATTTGATTTGTCAAAATTGTGCTTGGCGTCAAGAAAGCCTGACTTGCTGTTTCAGAGGTAGCACTTGTGCATTTACTTGTGTAATCAAGACTATTGCTCTTTAGAACCAAAAATATGCATGATATGAGAGTAGTATCTGAGTGCTTTGACATTTACGTTTTATACATATTTCCCATTACTTACCCAGGGTTCAGATGGAAAGACTCCATACCTGGAAAATAAAGGTTTGGTGTAACAGCACTGTTGTTAAACTAAAGTTTACTGTTGTTTGTATGTGCATTTTAATTCCAGAAAGTCTTGAAGGGACTTTCTACTGCCAGATTGTTTGTTTCAAATAAAAGTGTTTCTTGTATTGAATAGATAGCAAACTGTAGGTAAGTGGCCACTGGACACATCTCTAAAGAGAAACAAAGCATATATATGCAATAGAAAACTCATAAACTGGACTAGCCATTTCTGGTGCCCTGAGCAAAAGAGTATAATCCATGGAGGATGAGAAATGGGAGAGGGATTTCAGAAGGGAGATGTATGATGCTCTAAGTCTTTTGGATCAGAACAGTGATGCCAGCTGAAGTACATTTCTTATCTTATGGCACTGATTTTGAATGTCATTGGTCTGTGTGCAACCAAAGGAAGGAAGAGACACTGAGTTGCTCTGCAAGATGGAGTGAGTGAGGGAGTGGTGAATATTTTATAGAGGGACACTAAATCACTAAATGTAATTTGTAATTTGTTCAGTAGAAAGCAAATGAGCCTCCAGCCATGTCACCCCTGTACCCTGCACAATGCCTCTTTCAAGTGAGAGTAGCAAACATTCCAAAAGAGCAAATGCTTAAATTAGGACTTGCTTGTAGCTATGCTGAATGTGTTTGCCAAGTATTTGGGGCTACAGTTTGCATATCTGCTTAAAACCAGAAAGAATCATATTTTAAAGCCTGAAATAAAGTACCTGCAGTAGATAACCCTTTCAAGATTTTCTGTAAAAAGGATGCAGAATTGAAAAACAATAAGCTTTAGCATTAACAACAATTACTCTAGCATTTTCTTTTTCAGAGTTTTGGGGCCTACTTCTGTAGCCCTTCAGCATGCTGAAGTCTCACTGAGAACAGCAGAAGAGACTGATCAGGTAGTAAAAAGAAAAGGAGAAACCACACTACATAAATGCCCAATCACATTTCATTATTCTGTGTTTCGTTTACCTGTAGTGTGTTTTTGGAGTTCAGCCTACACCCAGGCACAGGATTTAGGCACAGGCAGAGATAAAAGGAGTCTGAGTATGAGTGATGTTATATTGGCAATGGAGATAACATTTGTTTTAGTATTTTTAGAAAAGATGTAATAAGTTAAATAATCCAGTTTTTCAGCATCTCAGCTCAAAAAAGAGGTGCCACACAAATAATGAAGTTAGCTTGTAGGACTGTCATGTGGGGAGTGAGCGCTGACTCAGATTCTTAGGGTTCAAAATTTCCTTAAGTGGAATAAAAGCCCAAGTTCCATTTTCCAGAATGCCTTCGCTTTTCAATGGGACTTGGACTCCTAAACACCCAAGCCTCTTTTGAAAAGGGGTTATGGACACTTAAGTCTCTTTAGGAGATTTTGAAAATATTACACTTATTTTGCTTAGAGTTACTCTCAGATATTTAAACCTTCTAAATTTGAAGGCTTAGAAGCTATTCATATTCAAATTCTGTATGAAGCAGAAATGGAGGAAAAGTAATTGGAGAGTAGGGGTTGATGGATAAAAACCAAGTCTGATTGTTAACATGTATTTTTTGGAAAACTATTGTTTTGTTTTCTTTTCAAGCTAGTACTAATTGAAAAAGATGTCACTTAAAAATTGCACCTGTTGCACTTGGTTGGTACATGTTGCCTTCTATTTATCCCTTGTTTCTCTCAAATATGTATAAACAAAGGCCTCTCAGCTTATTGAAACTCACCTTTAAGCAGATTTTTATATAGTTATGTTGACTTTCCTTTTAGAATGTCAAAGAATACTTAGAGCAATAACATTAACGTTTGAGTGTGCAGCTAATAAGTTTCACAGACATAAGAGAGCTTTATTTTTTACTTATGTCTATTTCAGATTTGTTTTAATAAAACTGTAGCTTTTCTTAAATGTTACCACAGGTACTCAGCATTAATACACTGGCTGTCATTTGAATTAGGCTTAAATTTTAACTCTTAGTTCCATAAAATTTGCAGCAAAAGTCATAAAATACTCAGAGTAAAATATTTTCCTTTCAAAGATCAGGCCTTTCAATATTTCTTAAATAAAGATGAAAAATAGTCAAGAAAAACCAACTAAATAGATTCAGGTACTTTTCTTTTTATCAAATAATAATATATATATTTCTACCGTGTATCTGTTTAAATTTGTCAGAAAAACAAAATACACACATGAGCTAAATTTGTAAAAAAAAAAAAAAAAATGTTGCAAGAAATGAAGTATTTATTTTTAAAAAGTGTTAAGAAACCATTGTCTGTAAATAATAAAGAATTATATTTTCCTCCTCAATATTGCTGTTCATCATATCTAGTGTATTTTTGTATATAAAATATATTGTTCAGATATTGTAGATTTCTCTATTCAAAGGCTTCTGTCTAGATAGTATGTTTAGCTGTCATGCTTTACTGATACACTTAATATTCTAGCTGTCAACATGCTATTTAAAAGAAAAACTATTTTTGAGTCTGTAAAAAACCAAACTGTGTTTTACTGCTGTAAAGTTGCTGAAGGTATGTTAATAAATATTGGTTTCTTTTGTGTCTGAAACATTTTGCAGTTAGTTTTGTGGGTGCAGACTTCCTTTAATTTTTATTCCATTACTAGCAACATGTCCTCTTTCAAAATGGACAAATCTGTTAAATTAATTTAAATAAATCGAGTTGTGTTGAACATAAAATAAAATCTAATGAAAATGCAAAATCAATATCTTGGAAAATGTATCTTTAGTAGCTTCCCACAACTAACACTGAGAGCGCCCCAGGCATCCTGCCTAGTGGGACTGGACCCAATGATCTACAAGGTCCCTTCCAGCCCCTAACAATCTATGAATCTGGCTGTTTCACTATGCTGCTAAGACTGACTTACCATATAACAATATTTTATTATTTATTTATTTGTTGCACCATGGATCTAGGAGCTCACTGCACTAGGTGCTACAATAATAGAGTAAACGTTCAGTTTGTCCCAAGAAATTTATAATCAAAGTAGAAGATAGCAGATAATTGTAGACAATTCACAAAATTCCCAGTGCAGTGCAAAGAAACAATGAGACACTTATTCATCATGATAAGAAGTGGCCTCACCACAAAACATCCTATCTAGTGTCATGTTTGTGGCATCACGGTGAAAGAATTTGAAAGAGGGGCAGTGTATTAAGGTTTTTGGATGTGTGCTGTGAACTTTCAGGAATGAAGTACAGAATAGAAAATGTAAAAGCACTTGTTTGAAAATTTAACAAGTAGAAAGTGAGGCTGGACTCACTGGCTAATCAGAGATGGGCAATGTTCATCATAGTAGTGATGATAAGTGGAAAGGGGGTAGGTTAAGAAATACTCTACAAATGAAGACAAGTAGCTTATGATAGATAAAATAGAAAATGGGGAACTGGTGAAGGGATGTCCAGCTGCCATCAGTATCACTGGGGCCGTGCCAGCACAGTGTGGGGCAGAGGGATAGCCCCAGCAGCCCCAGCCCGGGCCTCCCTGCCCCCTGCTGCCCTGTGCTGCCCAGAGGGGCTCTGCCAGGGGGCCCTGGAGCCCCCCAGCCCCTTCTTCTAAGGTAAGTAGAGGCTTTTTTCAGGGATTTTTGGGTTTTTTTTCTTTTTTCTTTTTTTTAAGTGATGGTGCCTGGGGTTGGCAGGGGCAGCCATGGGGGCCTGGGGGTGCAAGTGGGGGATGCGGCCAGGCAAGGCAGCTATTGGGGGGGGCCTGGGGGAGCAGGGCGTGGGGCTGGCTGGGGCAGCCATTGGGGGCAGCTCTAGCAGATGGTGGGGGATAGGGCCAGGTGAGGCAGCAAGCGGGCCTTACAAGGGTGGGCATGTGGGCCTTACAAGGGGTAGTGGTAGCCCCTGCAGGGGTCATTTGGCCCCTGTTGGGGGGCCGTAGTCCCTCTGTGGGGCCCATAGCCCCTGTTGGGGGGGCCATAGCCCCTGTTGGGAGCCCGTAGCCCTTGTGTGGGGCTGCAGCCCCTGTTGGGGGGGTCATAGCCCTTGTGTGGGGGCCATAACCCCTGCGGGGGGGGCGCGTAGCCCTTGTGTGGGGCTGTAGCCCGTGTGGGAGGGCAGCAAAATATATATTCATGTATTCATGAATTCATGAAACATGTATTTAGAGTTCACTTTAATATTATGAAAGAGACACTGGTAGGCTTCCACATTGCTTAACACTGTAGATATCAGTAAAATATTGCCCAACTGATCGCTCTCTCTCTCTTTCTTTATAGTGGTCTTTTGTTTTAATTGTGGAGGAATATGGATTTTGGAGTATTTTACGGAGTGACTTTGGGATTTTTTTTATCAGGAATTTTTCAGTTTTCCAATAGGGAACACCAGAATTCCTGCTAGGGAAGCCAGTGGCAGGACCCTGCCTGCTCAGAGCTGGCACCTTGGACCCATCTGTCTGTGGATGACCTCCTGGACAAATGGGACCAGGAGGACATGCTTTGACAGTTCAAAGCAGGCCACCATGCCCAGCACATCTTCCGGGCGATAGCTGCCCAAGTGGCTGGG